TTGGCAGCTCATTTTGGCCAACTCAACTCGGCTCATTTTTTACGAGTTACGAGCCAACCCGATGAGTTGGCTCGTTTTTGCCACCCCTAGTTGGGCTAGCAAATTATGCCAACTAGAATAATATTTCATTATTTTTTTGGGGTCAAGGGGATGAGTGGAAATATAGGTGCTTGTGTGTTGTATAAAATCAAAGCCATATCTTACCATAAGACAATGTAAAATGCAATCAAAAGTTACGACAAATTCGCGTGAAACGGTCGAAGCTATAACTATAGGGTTTTATGTTTATTATTTTACATAACACGACTTTCACTTTTCTACACACACATTAAAGAGGTGGGATCCATATATTTTTCTTTCTCTTTCATCATTTCACTTTCTCTCTCTATATTATTATGTGTGTTAGAAACTAAACTTATGTTATGTAACATAACATTAATAAAACCTATAACTATAAAACATTTACTAATAGGCGACTGTACAAGATTTCATAAATATTAAATGGGTTGTTATATTTATTTCAAGCCCAAATCTTTTCGAGCTGACACTATCAAATGAATTGGGTCAGTCCAACTTGTAATTTAATAACTGTAAGTAAGTAAGTTTTTTTTTTTGTGTGTGTCTTTTTTCTCCTTAAAAAAACTTGAATCTAACAAAGCCTTCTTTTCGCTAACAAGCTTATATACTAGATTATTTTTCAAAATATGAAAATGAAAAATTTATTAATTATAATACTTGGTGTATGTATCATATTCAAATAAGTAAAATGTACAAATTTATAAAGCAAACCAAAAGAATTTAACCCAATAGTGCAGCTCAGTTGGTAACTTGGCGTTGAGTTAGTGGGGTTAGATATGTGTTCGATTCTCGCTGAATGCATTCTTGGGGAGGGGGCTGAACCTTTAGCCATCACTGTTCCCCCGCACTCCGGATTAGTCCCATAGCCGGCTCAAAGAGTCGAAGCTCGTGGGGATACCGGAGGGAGCCAACTCGTCTCAAAGAGATAATTAGGGTTGGGTAACTCCAAAAAAAAAAAAAACCAAAAGAATTTAAATTGGTTTTCTAAGCCGAACTAGCAATTTGATTTTCTAATATTATTTGCTCCAGCTTTCAGCAAGCCGTCTTAGCTCAGCGGTAGAGCGCGTGGCTTTTAACCACGTGGTCGTGGGTTCGATCCCCACAGACGGCGATTTTTAAATATCTTTGGTATTTTGTCGCTCTTCTCGTTTAGCAGATTGGTCATTACTCATTATAGAAACCGATGGTTCATATATCACATCCAAACTTGGTTACTTGCAGAAAGATAATGGGCTCATATTTAGCTTCAATATTTTACTATAATTAAGTACCCTAGCTCCAAAATATCCGAACCATTCAACTTTATCAGCAATTATTTCAAGCACAAAAAATTAAAAACATAAAAAAGTAACTTATAAAAAAATTCTATACATAAAAATACTTTTTTTTTTCAGAACTTATAGACGATAAATCACTTCTATTATGAGATTAAAGATAGAGTAGTTAATAATTGTTTCTTTCAGCTTTTGAAAGCATTCTTCACGTGCTTGAGTCATTCAAATTTCTCCACATTTAATTTTAGGGAAGACCAGCTAGAGGAACTGCCATGTGTGAGAACCCTTTAGGATTTAAAAGAGCATGACATTTCCACAAAGAAAAAATGAATGTCACACATTAGAGCGCCATAAATTGAATCTTAAATATAATCTTTATATCCGTTGGTATAAATATTCTCTGACCATGACAAATCATTAAAATTAAAAAAGACTTTACTTAAAATTATTTTATTTAAAATTTAGAATTTGATAGAATTCAATACTATCGATTGGTAACATAAACCGATGTTATTTTTTGGGATAAGACTCGTTATTATCACGACAAACATATCTTCCTTAGTATAAACTTTTATCATGCTAAACATGTTATTTTCGTGCAATTAATTCTTCAAGTTTCACCGTTTGTTATATCCCAAACTAAACATACCTAAACATTCAAAGCAAGATATCAACATTGGAAAACAGAAACGTGAAGATAGGAAACAGAGCAGAGAGCCAGGGCGGTGGGATTCAGCAAACACGTGGTTTTAGGAAAGATTAGTGGTCGGTGGTGTTCTAAGCTGAACATAATTCAGCTTTAACTATATATCAGAGTATTCATTTTTGTACGTGTTCAATTCAAGTTAAACCATTCACGTCCAAATCTTATCGTTTTTCAATCTCAATATTTAGTTACTATTCTATGTAGAAATTAGAATGAGGCCTGATATTATATAGCAGCTGTACAATGAACTTATCTTAATAATCAAAGAGAGGACATGATGATTTGGAAGGAAAAATACTTTATATACTTACGATAGGTTATATAATTTAAATGGTGAAAATCGTTGATATATTTGAGCAATCTATTCGTGATTTTTGTAATACTTTTACGAAAATTAAGTTTTTGAGGGTTTTTCATTCTTTCGGAAACTTCTATTTTTATACGTATTCTTTTAGACACTATTACTTACGCTATGTTTTGGTCATCTGAAGCTTCTTTTCATCCAAATTAATCCGCATTTAACGTAAAGTATTGGGTTATGAGATATCTTTATACATTTTGAATGTAAGATAATCCTTACAAGAGGTATTAGGATTTTTATTAGGAAATGATTAAATTATACCGACACAAGAATACTATATATATTTTAATTAGTTGTTCATTTTACTTGCCTCCAACGCCCCTAATTTATTAATCATGTATCGTTAAATACACATGAAATCAACTTTAATATTATAATTATGTTCTCCCGGGAGAACATAGTTATAAATGGGTAGCTGTAGATAAGCTTAGCAGAAATATTTTTTTCCATATATATATATATATATATATATATATATATATATATATATATATATATATTTCTACAGCCACTTTAGATAAGGTTATTTACAATTTTTCCTTTTTAACTAAGTCTGACTAGTCATACATAGTTATAACAATAAAACTGTTCTTTTTTTCTCTCTCCTAAGACATTGTCGACTGAAGTGGCGGAGAGAGAAAATGCAATTTTTATGTATGACTGATCAAACATAGTTAAAAAGGAATAACTGTAGATAACCTTATCTAAAGTGACTGTAGAAATGTTTACCTCATATATATATATATATATAACTCAAACCATTAATACCCTAACTATTTGAGTACTTATATATCTTTGCAGCTTAGTGAAAGGTGCACATGATAAAAGGAAACAAAAAGTCACTAAATATAAAGTATGAGTGATTCATTTTTAAATTTTCTGGCTGTAAACACATTAATCTTTGAGAATGTAAAAACTAACACAGGTTTATCAAGATATCAATATGTTTGTCATGTTAATTCTTTTGCAAAGGACACATTAATTTTCGAAAAGAACTAATATGTGCAAAATTTATAGTGTTTAGAGACCTGTATAGAGTTTGACAAAGTTGAAAAGTGGATGATGCATCAGGCACAATCTAATTGTATGAAGAAATTTCACAAAGAAAATAGGGGGTGGCAAGGAACTAGGGATATCAAGGCTTTGATACCATGTAAAGAATCAATTCAAGCAAAAAGCTTAAGTTGTTGGATAAGGCTACATTAATGATTTTATATTTCTCTAACACGCACCCTCATAAGAGAGCCCATTGGGTTTGAAAGGTGAATGATCCATCAGGCTCAGCCTACCTGTGCTAAGAAATTCCACGAAGAAAATGGAGGCGACGAGGATCGAACTCGAAATACCAAAGCTCTGATACTATGTAAAGAACCAATTCAACTCAAAAGTTTAAGCTGTTGGATAAGGCTATATTAATAATTTTATATTTCTCTAATAAAAGTGAAATCACGCAATAAACTATTTTATGTACATCTTACATACAAACAAAAGAAAAATGGAAAAGTTTTTACTGGATTATTGATTCAAAATCCAAAGATTTTTTAAAAGAAATTAAGAAATGCATAGGGGGTTGTGTTTGTTCAAATTGTGTATGGGAGAGTTGCACAATTTACACAAAGATAAATGCGCCCTTGTCACATGGCGTGCACAACAAGCTTTGCATAGCCTATGCATGACTTGAACGCGTATATTCTCATGCTCGAATTGTAACGTCTGCCACGTGACAAGCATGCATTTGCACATGTGAAGTTATGCACCTACCCTATGTTTAATTTGAGCGCTCGCGATCCCTTTATTTATCTCACTGTATTATTTTGATAAAATCTTTGTGTTTTGCATGAATCTAATTAATACTTTCAAATTTTGCATGGCTATGGTCACAAGGCCCAAGAAATTAACTAGGGATATGTCTCACTATTGTCCTTTCACCAATATTATTGAAAAATATTTAGTTGTTTCACTACAAAAATTCAGGCATTTTGTGGAGGTCATATTTTTATATTGTAGAGGTCTTTGACACCCACAAAAGATATTTGTGGTATTCACCCAAACTCCCAGTTCTGCCTTCGCCACAACATAGTTTGTGGGGGGTTTTTTGTGCAGTGCCACAATTTGTTGAAGTATTTTCTGGAGGTTCGAGACCCCCACAAATATTGCACTTTCGGGAGGTTTAAGACCTCCACAAATGTTGTATCATTTTTTAGATGGCATAGACTACTACAATTTATTTATTATTTTGCAGATTTAAACCTCCACTAAATACTAGTTATCCAAATTTGAAAAGTCTGTATATCATAATTTTGGATATGGGCCCATCACTTGATTTATTTGCCAATTTATTATTTATTTGTTTGATCTCTTAACATTTCATTGAAAACAATTACTAAATGCTAGTTATCTAAAAACAACACTATAACATACCAATCATAGTTTATATTTATGCTTGCACTTGGTTAATACTTTTTTAAATAAATAAAAGTATAAATATACTCTAACACCCATATACTACAATATGAAGTTAAATTAATGTCTAGCAAAACAAAAACTTACATAATATTCTCTTATCTAACATTAAAACTAATTAGAAAGAATTCAGTTCAATTACAAGCACTCAATAACTTCTATCCAGATGCTATTTAAGAAAGAATAGAAGAATTATGTCCTTATGTTATGTTCTTACTGTCTTACACTTCCTTACTAACAAGGCATATTTTTCATTTGTTTTGCAGGCAAGAAAACATCTAAAGCTCAAACACCCAAGTCATATCAACGCATGCGTCATATCAAGGAATAGTAACATCAAGTGGTTTAATTCTTATCAACATTGTTCTCCAACTCCCTCCTCAGCTGAAGAGAGAAATCATCGCTAACATCGTCATGTTGAGTCACTTCTTTCCCTTCCTCCTTGTCGTCCCACTCTGTAAGTTGAAAAACAATAAAATGCAAAAGAAATTGGAAGAAAAACACATTAGAATGTTAGCATAAGGGCGGAATTGCCAAAGCTCCAAATTTTGAGACCCCAAACAAATCAAGTTGAACAAGAAGTCTCTAATACCCAAAGAACATTCAAATACCACCACTAGCAATTGAAAAAAAAAATAAACCCAAGCAATTAAGTGTATCCTATTATCTGCACCATAAAATGTGTCTATGACTAATGAGAAACATGATCAACACCATGTAACTCATGACAGAAAAATGTCTAATTTGGACGTACTAAATATCACTCAAATGTGCAACAATATGTGATGAAATCCCTAATTTGTTAAACGATATTCATCTTGCATGGTAATAAACTAATGACTTAGGGATCAAAACGTAATGAACTTGATAGATAAGAAACATTTAGCAGAAATAAACAACAAAAACGCACAAAAAGGTTAAATTGAAGCAGAAGCAAAGAGATTTGCGTCAGAGAGCTCGTGAAAGAATGAGATTAGTGATATTTTACCTTCATTGATTTCAAACTCTTCAAACTCATCATCGTTTTCGAAGAGATCGATCTTGACGTCCTCGGTGGCTGCTTGTGGTTCGGTCGCCATAGATAAAACTGAATCAACAGGTAATTCAAAATCAAATATTTTAGATTATATGTTATCAAGTGATATCATATAATCTAAAAACAAATATATACAATAATTAAGATTTAATTTATTTTGTTGTTAGTAAAATATTTTATAATATAATCTAATTATCTGTTGTTAAAACATTAAAACTATTTGATTATTATTATAAATTTTTTTATTTAATCTTTAAATATATTTATCACGTTATCCAGTCACTGGTTAAAGTACTAAAAGTCTAAAACTGGTTGAACCTTGAACTACTCTCCAGTATGGTTCTTCTGTTGAACCGGATATTTAAACACTGATTTTCAAACACTAAAAGTTCGGTGCTATAATATACAGTGTCATTAACACACCATAACTCAACATTTGAATAAAGGAAAAGCGTGTTCAGAATCTTAAAGAGGACATGCTTTATCTCTACTTTTATCTTTTCATTTTTCTAAATGACAAATACTACTTTAAAAGACTATAAGCTAATATAAAATTAACAATTTAACATTTAAAGATGATACTGAGAAAAGAAGACATGCATAAGCATACTGTATGATATGCCTTTCTGACAGGCTGACATTTTCTGTTGGTTATTCGAATCAACTTAAATTAATTAGAAATGTTCATGCATATGAAAGAATAAAAATTATAAATTACTAATCCATATGATTAATTAGTACCATGTAGGTGTTGGCAGGATTTATGAGTGACATAACATGACTAGTTTCGAACGCCAAGTCTGACAAGTCAGCATCAATCTCCACAAGTTTTCACCTGCAGTTACAATGCAATTTCACCTAAACATGACAGATGCTATAAAAGATACTTAGACATAAAGCATGTCCAATAAGTTCATGATCACAAAAATACAACTACATAATACTCCAGTTGAATGACAAATGATGTATATAAAGAGCAAAAAGCATATGGATTGCATTCCTGGTGGTAACTCTACCTCATCAGCATGGTCATCCTTAAGGGAAAACAAGAGCAAGGAGAAAAAGGGTGGGAAGAAAAACAAGGGAGTGAAGGTTTCCACTGAACCACAAAGCGTAGCAGCAAGAGAAAGAAGGCATAGAATCAGTGACAGGTTCAAGATCTTGCAGAGTATGGTCCCTGGTGAGAGTACGATGGACATAGTGTCTATGTTGGAGGAAGCCATTCACTGCGTGAAGTTCCTCAAGAGTCAGATTTGGCTACACCAAACTATGATAAACTTTGTAAATAATGAATCATCACCCTCACCCATGTTCCTTCTTGATCAATATTTCCCTTGTGAACAGGTCATTTCCCTTCAGCAAATCCCATCAATTGATTCTGATATGCAGAACATTACATAATCAATATGGCATGCTAAAATGGAAACATCCATAATAAATAGGGTTTTATATTTCTCATGTTGTAGAGACAAAAAGCATGTGAGACCCGTATGTTAGAAAAAATTATATGTAAGATCCACGTTGGCACAGAAATCGAAGGGTGTGTAGGAAAATTCAAATTCTCATGTTAAATGAGAATTATAAAACCCTAATAAATATCCTGCTTACTCTTGTCAAGGTGGTACCCTCACTCTACTTAACCACTTAGCTTGTAGGCAGCCAAACAGGCTCAGATGTTCTAAATTCCTAAGTGCAAATCAATACATATTGAAATGATTTTTTTAATACTCTGAAAGTGAAGGAAGACATCAATACCTGTTAGTAAGATGCTGATGGATATTATTAAGAAGAAGCCTGATAGTTTTAAGCTTGGTGTCTCCAACCTTCCAACAATATTTACAATTAAATGACAGAAAACAGGTAAAAATGAATACACACAATTAACCTTCACCTACAGGATGTAAAACCGCACATGTAATCATTTGAGAACAAAAAATATACAACAGTGCGAAAAAAATATGACAGAGATTAAAGAATACAGAAATAGAAATATAATTGATGGCATGTTTATGGTTGAACATAGGTATGAAATGTCATTCTTTGAAAATTATCAGCAACTTCAATATCATGGCATCAAGTGAAATGTAACATAGGGTCAGATTAGTGTTACAGCCTAGATCTGTAGGATTATCACATCACTCTTTCTCCCAATGCATAATGTGAAGATATAGTTTATAAACAGTAGGCCGTCAAGTCTTGCATTGTAAAGTGAAATGCATGGCTATGAATATCGAGAAAGCTTTTGGTGATAAAGGCATCACGAAGAAGGCAGGAATGTTATCTCAGATACATATTGCATGACAGCCACCAGATCATGGATGGATAAAATTAAACACAGATGATGCAGCCAAAGGTTCTCCAGGAGTAGCTGCATGCAAAGGATTATGTAGAGGATCTGATGGCCAATGGCTAGGGGGTTTTGCTTATCATGTGGGTATTGCTTCAGCTTTTACAGCAGAATTATGGGGTATTCTGAAAGGTTTGGAATTTGCTTGGAATAAAGGGTTTTGGAAACTTATTATTGAGAGTGACTCCACTTCGGTGATCACGCTGCTTTCCAGTAAAGGTAATGATGTCCGAGAGTCGCATATTGTTACTCGCATTCGGACTTGGATGAACAAAGATTGGGATCTTAAGGCTCAACACATCCACCGTGAAGGAAATCAATGTGCTGATTGGCTTGCCAACCATTTGATTTACCCCAGCCAGAACTCTATCTATAAGGAGTTTAGTCATGTCCCTCCTGGACTTGGCTGTTTATTTTTTGCTGATATTTGTGTTGTTACTAGCACTAGGAACGTTTATATTGTCTAGTGGTTTCTTGGGCTGTTAAGCCCTTTCTTTCACCAAAAAAAAAAAATAGCTACTTTACTCTGAAATAATCCTTTTGATATCTTGATGAGAACTAGGTGTGTCATTATAGCAGCTTTTAAGGTTTATTATAAAATTTTTGTAAATAAACGACTAATTTTGTGCAACCTGAAGTTTTTGCATGTTTTTGGTGCATTTGGTTAAAGTAGAATGCTTGCTTCTTTAAGAATGTCTCTTTATTATGGCTTCTCTTTGGTGTACTATTCATGGTTGCCTCAAGGTAGTTGCCATTTCTGATACAAAGAGAGACCGGGCAGGCTTGATGCATGTTAAAATTTTCATGGCTTATCTTTGAAGGATATCTTATCCTTCCCCTAGCTGTACTTTCACTATTATATTTAGAGACTTCACCATTGTGAAAAACAAATCTCATCTCACCATCTAAATAGATCAAGTACCTTCATGGTGAGCATGAACAAGTATAGAATTTTTATTTTTTTAGTGCATACTTTTAAAACATTGGGATTAATATTTTTTATAAAAAATAAAATTATCTCCTATACACAAATAAAAATATGTGGAGTCCAAGTGGAGCCATGTGAATATAAGAGAGAAAAAAAATAGAAAACATGGACACCATATACTTTTATGTATATTTAGAAAATATAAAAAATATTAATCCTTAAAACATTTGCCAATTAACTATTATATAACTTTTAATAATTTTTTTTCCGTATATTCCATTCTCTGTATCCAAAAAAGCGTGTACTCGTAGTCTCATTTCACTCTCTCACTTCTTTCCCGTCTCTCCCAAACGTGCGCACTCAAGGTAATATTAATTAAAACAGTGGCATTCTGAATCGGGCAATGTGAACAAGTGCTTGGATTCTTGCTTGGGTTCTATGTATTGAAATTCTAGGGTTTAAAATCGGTTATGGTTCTACCAAATCATCACTTAAATTTCTCTTCCAATTTGAGTCAAATGAATTTAAACTTGCACAATTTATGTATAAAATTGAACCTTTATCAGACAATCACACATCACATAGATGAACATCAAACCATAGCTTATAGCTATAAAATCAAAATCCTCAATTAATTGTACGAACACAACTAACACCCTACCTCAAACATCCATGAACTTCATTGTGCTGCACCTCGCTTCTTCATTGGTTACCCTCTTTGTATAACCGATATATACTGGCTTTGCTACAAACGAATCAAACAAAAACCCCAAATTTTAGCTAAGAAAATCGTCAAAATAATTTAAATTAAAAAACAAAAATAATTTGAGAGAAAGAAAGAAATACAGAGCTTGAAGACGACGGTCTTCTCAGAGCTTGAAGATCAGAGTGTTCTCGCCGGCGAGATCTGCTCTTCTTCATCACGGTGGTGGATGCAGAAATACAGAGAAAAGAGAAAGACGAGGCACATAAAAAAAATGAAAGAGTGAGTGACATTTGAGAAAAAAAAATTAACTTGGCCTTATTTTGTCTAACCGTGATCGCCACATTCTAGCAATGTATTACAAAATAAAATATTTATAAAACAGTATAAAATAGAAAAACATAACAAAAAATTATAGAGGCTTAAAACCTGCCACAAATTATATTAATTAGTGGAGGTTTTCTTGACCTACATTAAATAACCTCCACTAATAACCTATTTTTGTGTGGAAATGGATCCTCTAATGTGTCAAAAAAAAATGATATGGTCATGTGGGAAAATCACAACCATACAAAGGTAAATCAACAGTTATGATTTCGAAACTACTTATTTTATCATTTTTTCTCTCTCCTCTTTTTTTACCATTGATCCACCTTTATATGGTTATGATTTCCCACATTACATGGTCATGTGAATTTTCACATTAGAGGATCCAGATCCATTTTTTGTAGTGTCTCTGTTACTCCACATTATTGAACTTATGCAACTTTAATTATGTACAATATTAATATTTCCATCGTTAATTATATTTTTAATGCGATAACTAATTAAAACCATATACATTTAATGGCCCTGTAAAATATTTTTCTTGGTATATAGAAACACTTAAAAATTTCGAAATATTACGACCATTACATAGTGGACATCACTGATCGCAGGGATGAGATCGAGGAGGGTAGTATCAAAATATTTCATGCATTGGGAGTTTGTTGAACAATCCGAGGGATGGGTCTTTATTAGTGAGTCGGGACGAGGGAGGCAATAGTAATTTAGGCGTGTCAATTCTTGACCCGATAAGCTGTAGCAAGCCCATGTAGTGATATCCTGGAGAGCCCAAGTCATCCTACCAATGCAACTAAGAGGACCACTCGCAACACAATTCGGCCCAAGCATTTAATGATTTTATAATGGGTTAGGATCTTTGGGTTATTGGGCTGGACAACATGTATTAACAAATGTGCTATTCCAATACTGGATTGGAATCAGAATATATACAGAAAATCAAAAGAATAGAAAATATAGAAAATTGATGGACAATTCTCTCTCTTTCTTTAATTTTTCTCTCTCTTCTAACTACCTTCTTCTCAATTTCATCATCCCCTTCCCTACAATTTGGTGCTTTCATTGCTTTATCTCCTCCTATGGCTGAAAACACTAGGATGCGAGACCTTCAAAATCAATTAACTGAACTGCGCCAACAACTCCTTAACGCGGAAAATCGTTTACAATTAACATAGACCAATACCACTCAGCAATTCACGACGTGGGAAGTCGCTCATGATCGACGATTCCATGCTATTGAAAACAAACAAAATGACCGGTTTGAGGAATTGCGCACAGACATTGATCGCCAGCTGTAACAACAAAACGGCATGGTCCATCACCATGGACGTCAACCTGGAATCCTTGGTCCAGGACCTGGCGGACGCTCTCCTCGGTTAGATCTGCCTCGCTTTTCTTCTGGTGATCCTACTCGATGGCTTTTTTCTGTGGAACGCTACTTCTTGTATTACCAAACCCTTGAACCTAATAAGTTACTCTTGGCCTCTTTCCATTTGGATGATCCCGCTGCTAGTTGGTTTCAAGGCTTGTCCCGTGATGGAATCATTCCTACCTGGAATGCGTTTGTGCTGGTCATCCGTCAGCGTTTTAGCCCTACCGAATTCGAAGATCCAGCTTCCCTTCTTGCCAAGCTCCAACAATCCTCCACTGTTCAGGATTACCAGACTACGTTTGAGAATTTATCCAGTCGTGTCCCAGGCTTATCCCATGCTATTACCAAGAGCATGTTTATTTCTGGTCTAAAACCCAGAATTTGCAGCTCCATCATCCCTCACAGACCTGTTGATGTCCACAAGCGTTTGCTCTTGCTAGAGTCTATGAAGATCAGATCAATCTGGAACGCACATCCAGACCATGGGTTGCTAAGTCTCTGCCCAGTGTTCAACCGGTAGCAGCAGCCACATCACATCAGATTCACAATAATCATCCTATTCCTGCCATACCGATTAAAAGACTTTCTCCAGAAGAAATTAGAGCTAAGAGGGAGAAAAACATTTGTTTCAATTGTGATGAGAGGTATACCTTTGGTCACAAGTGCAAGTCCAAACCAGCTTTGTTATACATGGAAGGCTTGGATCCTGATCCTCCAGATGCTGACAACATTGCTATTATTGACACCCCATCAGACCAATTGGATCCCTCCACCACAATTCCAGAAATCGGCTTTCATGCTCTTTTTGGCCATCATAATTCTCGTTGCTTCCGATTACAGGGCACAATGGTAGGTTACCCACTCCAAATCCTCATCGATGGAGGCAGCACCCACAACTTCATCACCCCGCGCATGGCTTCTTTTCTCCACCTGACATTGCAAGCCATTTCACCTTTCACTGTTCAGGTGGGAAATGGTGACACATTGCTGTGTTCGGCTAAATGTTCCCAGGTTCCCTTGTTACTACAGGCTAAGCTCTTTTCGGTGGACTTATTTGTCATAGACCTCAAGGGTGCTGATATAGTACTTGGAGTACAATGGTTGGCCACATTGGGCCCCATTGTCACAGAATACAACCGCCTCACTATGTCTTTTGTGCGTGGCAATTCCAATGTCCTTTTGCAAGGTGCTCTTACCTTGGACCCCGCAGCCATTTCTCCTGCTCAGTTGCATCGCTTGGTAGCACAGAACTCAGTTTCTTCTAGTCACATGTGCTTTACTACTATAGCCCCTAGCTCTCTTTTCCATTTATCTAGTACCAGTAGTTCACCTACTGTTTAGGATCAGAAGGACCCTGCCATTCCGACACTACTTCAGGACTTTGTTGATGTTTTTGATACACCACCCTCACTTCCACCTGATCGCACCTACAACCATAAGATTGTCCTCCCACAGGGCACTCAACCCATACAAGTACGTCCATACCCTCATTTCCAAAAGAATGAGATTGAGCGTCTAGTGAGGAAATGCTAGCTGGAGGACTGATCAGGGCCAGCCACTCTTCTTTTAGCTCACCGGTTTTGTTTGTTAAGAAGAAGGATGGCACCTGGCGCTTCTGTGTCGACTATAGGGCCCTAAATGCTGTGAGAGTGAAGGACAAGTTCCCCATCCCCACAATTGATGAGCTCTTGGATGAGTTACACGGGGCCACCATCTTCTCCAAGTTGGACTTATGTTTGGGTTATCACCAGATTTTGATGGATCCTTCTGATATCCATAAGACAACGTTTCGTACTCACCAGGGACATTACGAGTTTTTCGTAATGCCCTTCGGCCTGTCCAATGCCCCCGCCACCTTCCAGGCCACCATAAATGAGGTTTTCTCTGAATTTCTCCGCCGCTTTGTAGTTATTTTCTTTGATGATATCTTTGTGTATAGTGCTTCCTTACAGGATCATATTCACCATCTATTTCAAGTTCTGCAAACATTGAGAAGTAATGCCCTGTATGCCAAACTGTCCAAGTGCTCATTTGCCTTATCTTCCATCAGCTTCTTGGGCCACATAATAGCGGGTTGTGGGTAGGGGTGCTAAATGAGCCAGGGGCCTTACAGGGGTCTTTGGCTCAGCTCGTGAAGGCCTGAGCTTTTATGTCTAAAATTGATTGTTGGGACAAGGCTTGGACTTGTATAAAAGCTCATTTAATAAAAAGGCCTCAGACTCCAATTTAAAAGCTCGGCCTTAGAGCCTCTCAAGCTAGCCTAATATATTAAATTTTATTTTTATTTTATATTTTTTATACTACTTGTGATAGTTTTCTCTCTCCTCAATCCAATTCATCCTATTTTATTAATTAAATAGACTTTTTGAATGATTTTGTTTTATATTATGCTGTTTGGATATACATTAAATTTATGAATATTTATGGAATTACTAATGCTGTTGACTGTATATTTTATTTGAGTAAATTTTTGTTGTCTTATTTTGTTTTAAACAGGCTAAGAGGCTAAACCAGGCTTTTATTTTTTTATAAATAAGACAGGCCACAGGCTGAAATTATATTCATAACAGGTAACAGGTTTGGTAAGACTGACACATTTAAACACAGGCTTAGCCTTTTATGACCAAAGCTCGGCTCGGCTAGACTCGTTAACACCCCTAGTTGGCGGGTAGCACCAGACCCTCAGAAGGTCCAAGCCATTGTTGATTGGCCGCTTCCCTCTTCACAAACACATGTCCGCGCCTTCTTAGGCCTTTCCGGTTACTACAGACGTTTCATCCGGAATTATTCATTAGTGGCAGCCCCATTATCCGACTTGTTATGCAAATCTAGGTTCTCTTGGTCAACCGCAGCTGATGCAGCGTTTCAGAAATTAAAAGCTTTAATCACTGCAGCCCCTATTCTGGCCCTCCCTGATTTTTCCCTTCCTTTCGTGTTGGAAACAGACGCTTCCGATATTGGGGTGGGTGCTGTGCTAGTCCAAAACAATCACCCAATTGCTTTTTTTAGCAGGAAACTATCTTCCACAATGAGGAACAAGTCCACATATGTGAGGGAAATGTTTGCCATCTCAGCAGCAGTGACTAAATGGCGACAATACTTGCTCGGTTCGGAGTTCATTATTCGGACTGATCACCGTAGCTTGCACCATCTCATGTCGCAAGTCGTCCAAACTCCCGAGCAACAAATTTTTCTAGCCAAGCTATTCGGATTTAACTTCACTATACAGTATAAGTCGGGTAAGGCTAACATTGTAGCCGATGCACTCTCCAGACAGCCAGACGATGACCTTGTTGCACCTGCTAATCATCTCACAGTACTGACTGGACCCTCTTCCAATTACTCCACCATATTACAAGTTGAATTGCAAGGAGATGCCTACACCTCCAATATCTGGCAGGATATTCACCAGAACCCAAACTCATGGCCCAGCTGGCGAGTTCAGGGCCCATTATTGCTCTACAACAACCGTATTTTTTTACCAGCAGGATCTAGCTTAATTCCCCAGCTGCTACAAGAATTGCATTCTTCAATTCAAGGTGGACATTCTGGTTTTAAAGCGACTCTCCCCCGCATCTCTTGTTCATTTACCTGGAAAGGGATCAA